TGGCAGCCTGGAACTGCCAAAGCAAAGAAAGGTTACGGAACAGATACAACCCAAAACCCTTAAAAGAAGGGAGCAACATTGAAAAGAAAAAAAATCAAAAATTTTAATTAAATTGAAATTTTAAAATTAGAGATCCATCCTTGAGCACAAAAGCTGGGAAAACAACATGGAGTTTGTTAACATATCAGTGTCGCAACCTGTTCTTTCCCATTTCATGCAGTTTCCCAAATAATACATTGGAAGAGGTACTGAGATAACTTCCATACTCCTGGATGCTTGCGAAAAGAAAAAAAATCAAAAATTTTAATTAAATTGAAATTTTAAAATTAGAGATCCATCCTTGAGCACAAAAGCTGGGAAAACAACATGGAGTTTGTTAACATATCAGTGTCGCAACCTGTTCTTTCCCATTTCATGCAGTTTCCCAAATAATACATTGGAAGAGGTACTGAGATAACTTCCATACTCCTGGATGCTTGCTAGTAATTACTCTAATCCTGAAACTACAAATTTTTAAGGGTATTTCCTTGTTGTTAAGCTCTACAAAGTGATTCCCCTTCCAGGAAAAGACACACACAGATTCCTTTTCAGCTGTTTCATGCCAATGACACTCTCCAAGCCACAGCCACCAGTTAATTTGCCCTGCGATTGCAGCGAGTACGCAACCGAACGACCAGAAACAAACACCACGCGCTCCTCTGATCAGGACAACGGCGTTTGAAGTCTTTGCAATAAGGTGACTGACGCGTAGCAAGGACCTTCTTTCTTGCTTTTATAGCCTGCAGAAGAGGCTCAGGGAATCACAGCACTAAGACAGAGAAGAGCTCACCTCAGTGGGCTGGGTTGCATGTTTTCCTGTAGCGACGCAAGCAGCAAGTTCCGCTGCGTTTCCTAAGATGCTTCGGTACGCGGCTGCACCTTGCGCTGCAGTAAGCCTTTGACCGTTTTTGCCAGCTAGCGTTAGATAAACCTGCCAGATCTCACTTCTACGCTGCTCAGACTTACTGATTTGAGCGCGTTCCAGAGGACATTTCAAAAGCCTGTAGGATGAAAGGATATTTCAGCCGTAAAGGAATTATGCTCCTTCCATAGCATGGGCCGAACAAGCTGGACCTTCTAATCACTGCTTGAAGGATAAAGGGGCAAAACTGTTTTCCACTTCTTAAATCATTCCCTTTAATAGGAAGTGCTGTTTCACTCTAGTTTGTGCTTCTGAAGCAAACATTTGTGTTCCAAAAATATACAGTGTACACATACTCTGCAGCTATAGACACAAACATTTACAGAGAAATGAATAGGCTGGAGTGGACTAGCTTGAAAATATTATGGCTTTCCTTCTGGCCCTCTTACATGTACAGCCAGATTATCTTGTCTCACCATGCAGTAAACAGACACAGGCTACTGAAAAAAACATGTTCAAAAAATACAATAATTCTGGTTGATTAAATGAAACAAAGTGGGTTAAAAAATTCCACGCGTTCTAGAGGTTTTGAGGTTTTTTTCCCTACTTCCACCCCCCTCCTTTCATCCATATGATCTGTCTTCGTATCTGCATCCCACATTCAAAGCAAGCGCAGCCTACCCATCTCTGTCTTCGCTACTCCTGAAGGGTTGATCCCTCATGCAGGCATTGCTCAGCTTTAGACCAAAGAGGAAAAATGTGGTTCCCAAAACGTTTGGTTTCCTCTGCAAGGCTTCCTCAAGCTAAGGGGAACTGGTTACATTTCACAGTCTAGTTTTTTAGCGAATAGGTCTGTATGGGAACGTCATTCCTGGTATAAATGTTTGTACAGGGTGAGCCGGGAGCGCTGGGTGAGCCGGGTGAGCCGGATGTGCAGGTAATGCAGGGTGTGCTGCATGTGCAGGATAGCCCAGAGGAGGAGTATGGATATGAGGATAAAATCCTGGTGGCAGAGCACCGTGGGTTGGTTGTTGTACTGGACCTGAAATCACCAGCTGGAGCAGGCTGTGAAAAGAAATTCAGACAGTCATAAGTATTATTTCGAGAAGGCTTTTGTAGTGGCTCTCCCTAGCCCACAAGGGACCGATTCTTCAGACAATTCATCATCATTGTTCACAGGCAAGTGGATAATGATTCAATTATGCTCCCTGCAGCTTCCTGCAGACTGTTTTTTGTTTTTTTAAAGCACAGTTGCTCTTTGCACCGAGGCACTGCTCACAGTAACTGACGGCTAGTGGGACTCACACAGTGGCAGGGAACAGCAAGCTCTGGTACCGCTTAACTAAGGGACAGATACTCTGGAGCACCTGTCTGGGAAGGCTACAAAGCCTCCCCCAGAAGGCCCTCAGCTCTTGGAATCAAGCCTTGCTGCTAGTGAGGATCCTACGTGGAAAGATCAGGTCTCTGCTTCCAGTGCCTGAGCATTGGCCTTGATGGCTCATGCCGGAGGAACCAGAAACAGTGAGAGTTCACGATGCAAACCATGTTTCAAATCGTGCGATAATTCAGGTTTTGAAAGAGCTGTTGTGTTAAGCCACTGCTCATTTTTGGATTTGTCAAAAGCGCACCAACAAAAGGAGCGAGCACAGAGTGATGAATATCACACTCTGCTCAGACCGACGGTGGATGTCTGCGAAGGTTTTCTTTCTTTAAAGTCTTGCTCCTTTCTAAGCATTTTAAGTTCATTTTTACTTTGTGAAAATTCCTCAGTTAAATGGGTCTCATCTTCTGCTGAAGGTGTTTTATTAAAAAAGTAGTCTGGCAGTTTTTCTCCTTCCCAAGGCAACTAGCCTGCTTTTGAGTGTTGTTCTTATTTCTCTACTCCTCACAAACCACATATCAAAATATGAAACATCAAGTTGGGCGCAACTTCTCACAACTTAGGCATCAGCACGGAGACCACAGCTTGCACATCATCCGGCTGTTGGGGGAGGAAATTCTACTCAAGATTTTTTTTAGCTGAATTTTTGTCTTGCTTTTACTGCAGTAAGGCTCTTCTGGTCATGGTTGTTTAGTGTTAGAAAAATAAGTAGAGAAATTCCACAAGAACATGAACTGCTGCCACCAACGTGATCCCACATGTTCTCTGTGAAGAAAGCAGGGCCATAAGCCATATACAGAGCCTGGTCTACTCTATACCAGTGTCATCATGAGGTGCGGGCCACACTGAAGAGCTCAGCTTGTTCCAGTACAGGCAACCCTCTAGCCCTGCCAGCCTGGGGCTTCACATCCAGGAGGGCTGCCCAAAGAGGCAGGCAAGTTCGCTCACGCTGAACTCAAGGTAGCTATGTGGGCTCTTCAAGAGGAAAGAGGGCCAGCTCTTCAAATCTGCCAGCAGACCTCCCTCTCACCTGGGGAGAGCAGCTACATGGTCCCTCTCAAGAGCATCCCTTGTACCGGCAGAACAAAGCTCTAGCAGCACAGCAGGAAAACTGATTCATTAAGTGTCTCCATCTGCAAAAAAGGCAGGAGTCCTCAGAGCATAAATGACTCTTGAGGGGACAGAACTTAATCTTGCCTTTACTGCAACTAGAGCTTCTGACAAGCTCTGTTAAGCTCATGGCTAAGACACCAATATAGGAAATTATATAATTTTCCAATATAGAAGCGAGTTTTAGACACACAGATTGGAACCTTTCTAGCCAATATTAAGAAAAGACCAGAAATTTGGTAAGGATAAAATGTAAGAAGCAAAGTGCAGCTAAGCTTAGGGTCAGGTATAATAAGTGGACAACCTGGGATGGGACAATTTTGGGTGGTTGTGCAAGCTGTAATTCCATTTTCCTCTTCTTTTCATCTGTTCTAACACAGGCTGGGCAAGATTGTCTCTATTGGGGGAGTCACTGAAAACCTCCTGGACTCAAGCCTCCAGCTTGCAGGACTAGGAGCTCCACAGAGCTCAAGGTGAGAAGTGACCAGTACCATCTGTCACCTTTATCTTTGCACTGAACTTAAAACTGTGTCTGAATGAAGGCCAACTTCCATAAGTAAATACGTGTTTTCATACGGATTTTGTCTCAGCAGCCCTCAAGTAGGTGTCTTGGAATATGCGTTAAAACAAACACAGCTATAGAAAGGTCTCTTACTTGTTGTGTGGTAGCCTGGAGCATACAGTTCTCAAGTCATCTGAAAGAGAACAGAAGACAGAACAATAAAGGGTAAAGCAGAAATTCAACAATTTTCCTCTCTGTTCTCCTTTCTAGGAAAGTCAGACTGCTGAAAAAACCCCAGTGATCAGCAGATCCGGAATCCCATTCACAGGCCAATAACTTTGGTAGGAGACAACACGCTTCTCTGCCTCACCAGTGATTACTTCAGCTTTTTGCACTTGACACGTTATTATAAGCTCTGCATTTAACTTACAAAGCCCTGTTGGAAAAGCAGCTTCAGTTCAAGGCAAACCAAGCCTTGTATAGAATTTGCAGCAGGTTAAACATAGCTCTGCCCAACTGTGACTGCAGACTGCACACCCTCACTGCAACTGCTGTCATATTTAACATAAAGCTGCTGCCAAAGGAAATGACAGGTCCCAAATCACTGCACTTAAAATCACCGCTTGATCTGCTATATGAAGCATTAGATGCTGCAGACCTCCCCAGAAGAGCTCAAGAATTTGAAAACAGTTCAGACAAGATGATCATCAGGATTTACAGCACTCAGGACTGGGACTCAGCTGACTGTCAGCAAAATATCTAAGTGATCTAGCAACAGGAAAACAGATGCATTAATAAGCAACTAAGACATAGGCAATACAAGGTGTGACACTGCCCACAGAATATGGCATTTATGATTAGAAAGGCATCATATCAAAAGCAAGGCAAACCTTACCTAATAGACTTTTTTATTACTATTAAAAACAGCGTGAGTTTAAGAAAGTTCTTTTATTATCGAGGTCTACTAACAAAAAATTGCACTGCTCCTTTTATCCCCATCTTAGTTTCTTTTCCAGGACATTTCTTGGCAATACCTGCATGCCTCACTCCTTTGCGAGCAGCTCCCATCTCTTCCTTGGTCCCATGCAATGACAAATATTCCTCATATATATACACATATACATAAACAGTCTGTGTTTGCCTCTCTACATTTCAGCTAAAGGCAGAATAGCTAGAACCAAAGTATTTACCAAGAGCACTACTCAAAACACTTCCCATTGCTAGAGTCCTTTCACGAGTAGCTTGAGACCAAGCTCCCACTTTTGCAGAAAAACCTACTCCCAAAATACAATTAACTGGTATTTCAGTCGCTACTTATATTGAACTTTTACAGTAAGAGCACTCCTACAGTAAGAGCAAGTGCTCAGAATGGATCATATGAATAGCTGGAAAACAACATAGCTTAAAGAAGCCATCAGCTCAAAAGATTCCACTTTTCCGCCTGTTCTTACTACACCCAGAGTTCCTGAACAAAGGAGAGAAAGAAAAAATATTAAGATTTAACACATTCAACAGCACTGGTTCAGCCGGAGCAAAAGCCTCAGGCAGAGGCTGCTCTCCACAGGCAGGAGATGATGAGATATGACAAGTCCTGGATTGTTAGGACACCTTAAGCCTTCTACTGTTGTGCTAAGAGTTGCCTGTTTTCAATACAGTTTAATTCAAGAAAAGAGTAGGTCTGGCTGACTGTTGCGTTGAGATGCTCCTCCTTTTTGTTTCTGCAGGTCTTTCAGAAGGAAACGTTTTTGGAAACAGGAAAGACCAACTAAAGCCACATGAACAGGTTTCTTTACTAAGTTCAAATGAAGATGTACACACAATACAGTCGCATTAAAGGAGAAATGAAGGTCCAGAAGTTCCAGATGAACCAGAGCTTCTGTTTGCTTTTCTGATTCCCTAACACATCCATCTCGTGGTCTACTTCATGGCGTCTCTTCCAGTTCAGGCAAACTCAGGGACGAGTTAAATTGAAACACAATTAAACAACGCTTTTTAAAATAGCTACAAGCAACCTCCTGCCCCAAACTGCTTTGGAAGAAAGTGGCTGTCCTGGAGAGCAATTTTAGGCAGACAGGAGCAAGCTCCATGCCTGCTTGGAGCTAAAGGAAGCTGTATAGTCACAAATGCATAGGCAATATTGTGCCTCTTCACCCTGGTGAAGAGGCAATGCTTGCCAGACGTTCAGCAGCACGCTTCGCAGGGTTATACAATTTCCCATCGGCTTGGGATTTTAGATAGATCAGGGTCACATCGGTCCGCAAAGGCTGTTTAGATAAACTAGAAGTTTTAGTCAGTCATAAGGGTCCTACCAACAAGGAGTGTTTCTTAAAACTACTGTAAATACCATGACATACACAGAATTCCCTGTATCGGTTAAAAGCCAGCCTAGGCAGTTTTGATGAAGAAGATGTGAAGAACTGCAGGCTTCACACACCTAGCAGAACACCTTAGCTTATGACTTATAACAGTTTGCTGCTGCCTCTGGTTTCAGGCCAGAATCCTGCCCCAGAAAGTCAGTACAGCTGTGTTGGAGACCTAGACTGTACAACGTTACTCAGAGTCTCTCTGGCTCCCGGGCATCACCTTTCACGTTCCAGAGTATGTCTGCAGAGCTGGCAGGAAGAGAAATTAAGCTTTCAGCATGCACAATGGGACAGATTCTGCAGCTCCATGTGATACGTTTGTCCTTGGCTCTCCAGTGTTTGCTCTCAGAATTGCTTTCTCAAAACAGGGAGAGTTCGGAGGAGGATGAAGGTCTCTAATGCACAACCACAGCAGGACCCCACTGAGCAAGTCAGCTTGGAGACACTACAGTTCAGGACCAGGTAACTGTGATCATGTCCCATTTACTCAGGGATCAAAGCAGGCAACAAGATCTTTCTCTCTTTGTGTTCTGATATCAACCGTGCTGTTCCCATTTGTGTATGGGCCCCAAGGAGGTCACATTTGTCCCCATGTCGGCTGCCCAGATATAAACCCCTTCCACACACTGCAAGGAAGAAGGTCAATTCTCCTTCAGCTCTGCAAACCAACATTTTCTCCAGTCAATTTTATCAGTGATCTGTCCTTTCTTACTCCACATCCAGTTCTTTTTCCTGAAGTATTTCCTGCAGTTCACTCTAATACTGCTTCCTAATAGCAGCAAACTACTACTTCTGCTATCAACAGATTGACCTTTACTCCCCCCCCACCCCCCGCAAAGCTCCCTCTCAAGACATCCACCCGCGCGCTGGAGGAAAAGAATCCCATGCCAGGCTCCGTGCCAGCCCCGCTCAGCAACTTACCCCGAGTGCACAGCAGTGCTCCTGATGCCATGGCCACTTGCAAAGCCTGAGCCAGTCTGTCTAGAGCCAGTTCGATCTCTTTGGACGCATTGAGAGGATTGAGTTCATCAGACAGTCTGTTAATTTCCTCAACAAGTGGAACCACATGGTCAAAGGGCACTAACCCCAGGCGCCCGTAAAGGTTCTTCTCTGTTAAGTGCCCCTGAAGCATCATAAGAACCTGCAGGACACTTAAATGCAGTTTTGAATACAGCTGATGGCAGTCTCTGTCATCTCCTGCAGGTGAGTCCTTGGCAATTTTGCTGGGGGGGTGTCCGTTTGAGAGAGAGGCTTTCTTCTTCCTTTTATAAGCCAAGGGGGCCTTCACACACCAACGGATCAGTCCAGTGAGTGGGGTAAGCTCTAAAAACCCTATTGGCAGGTTGGCTGCAATAGGAGTGTTTAGAAAGGTAATGAGGATCAAGCGGGGGTCTTCAAAGATCCAGGAAACAATCAACTCGAGCAGATCTGAAGGAGGGATGAGGTCATCTGAAGATAAGAAAGATACTGCTCAGTAAACAGAGCCCTGCACTCGAGCACAGGACCGTGGTTTTGTCACAAATCCCTTACCCATACACTTCCTGCACTGGCACAATTGAATTTCAGAACTTCCCCAACTCTGCTGTTTTTTTCAAGACACCAGCAGCAGATGTTCTTTTGCCCAGAGAGAGACAACCATATTCTTATCAGCTTCACCTTCTTCACCAGTTCTGCAGACTCCACCACATTTCAACATTTAACCCCTTTCACAACAAAGCTTCTTTCATCATTTCCTTCCTCTCCCACCCCATCACCTGCTCACTCTTCCTCTAAACTTGGTCTCCATTTGTCCCTTGCCAGAGGAAATTCAAAGGGAAAACAACTTGTTGGGGGTTTTTTTTGGTTGACCCAGTCACTCAATTGATTTTCTTTAAGAATTACATAAATGAGCATGTCTTGTGGAAAAACTTAACTCGACAACACAATCACACGACAGGCAAAGGATTATAAGATTGTGTAAAGTTTCAACTACGAAGCAATAGGCGGTCAGGAAATGGAGCCTGATTAGTCTCAACAGAAAAATTTACTCCACAGTAACCGTGTCTCATTCCGTCACAGTGGTAGACTGCCCAGACTCAGTGCGATATCTTTGCTGTGAATCGCATACACGTCAGCAAAGGACTCGGCACTGAACTGATCTAGTCAGGTCTTTTGTACCTTGACCTGGTGGTGGAAATGACTTAGAGGAAAAAGTCATTTGGACTACAGAACTACCCAATCCAGGGTCAGCACTTTCTGGTTTTTACCTTCTCTGAAACTTCTAACTACCACAGGTGCTGGCTGTGTGACTAAATCCTGTCTGTTCTCAGAACACGGTGAAGACTGCCCAATTACATATCACAGAAAAAAAACAAGCTTCCTCTTCTTGTACGACCATAACATCTTAATGAAGTCAAGGAATTGGAAAAAAAAAAAAAAAAGATTTACTGACTATAGCTATTTCCTTTTTGACATATCTTTTAATTAGTTGGATGAACTTTCAAATGCTTACACAATATGTGTATAAAATATTGAGAAAGACTATGCTACCAAGTTCTTAAAAAAAAAAAAAAAAAAAGCTCTAAGCCCAGACCTCTTTCCCACTAATACCAAGCTGTTTATCTAGAGAAGGCTGTGCAAAACACTTCCTTTATCTTCCACAAATAGCATTTGCTTTCTTGAATGATGTGGGAAGTTGGCATTTAATGTGGTTGTTCCTTAGATTATCACAAGTTCTCTCTCTCAGCGAGTAAACGTAAACCAATCTTACTTTACACACATACACACGCTTCTGCTCTTTGAGCAACAACACCTGGAGGCAGGTCATATCAATAGCTAGTCATGGATACAGTTAAACAGTGCAGGTTTGCACAACAAGTTGATTACATCTCTTATTCCTGTTCAACAGAAATCCTGCTCCAGCTCGCAAATACTAAGAATTTACATTTTTCACCTTTTTGAGAGGAGCTGGTTTGACAGCCACCCCTGAGTCTATCTGCTGGGTAGATGGCACTCAACAGGAGGGTAAAACTTCCCAGCCCAGGCAGACCAGCTTTCACACCTAGAGTTTCTCAGTCAGTAAGGACCCTTTGTGGAGGATGTTGCTGTTTGTGTTATATGGTTGCTTCTCTATTAAAGACTATGCCTTCAGCCACTGGGTGTTATTTTTATTCTCACCCCAGTGACAGATGATGTAACAGTCACATACCCCAGGATGCTTCTGGTAGTAGCTATATGGTAACAAGCATCTTTAGAATTTGAACAGTTAATTTGCTTGCAACAGTTAATTCATGTTGCACTATACTATATTACTTATTTTGAGAGACATAGTTTGGAAACATTTTACCTGAAGAGAGGTCGTAGAGAGCCGTCACTGATGTAATGAACTGGCAGCAGAAGCGAGGACTGGCACTGAATATCTGTTTCAGTGTTTGGATGGAGCCTGGCACCAAGTTGCAGTAGTCATCAACCAAAGCCCGGGCTAGCCTCACACAGTACACAGCGGGGGTACGCTGTAGGGATGCGGGATAACATACAGAGAAAAGCAGTGTAAACCAAATCACAGAAAGTTCTAGAGAGCCGACTCTGTATTGCTCTTCCTATTCTGCTGTAAAACACCTGACTCCTGCACATCCCATGAGGGAAGCAGGAACAAAGATGCACTTCCTGAGATCAACAGTGGGGAATCTCTGTGGGGTAAGGAAGGGACATCCTTCAGAGAGATATGAGAGACCTTAGAAGTACTGCATTCATGGAAGACAGGCACTGGAACTTTTTGCCCAAATCTCAAGAGAGAGGCAAACACTGCCTCTTCTGCCCTACCCACGCTTGCACACCAGGTAGTTTCTTTCCCAAACCCCCAAGTCCAGTTCTTTGGCCAACGTGACCATGAACTGCCACAGTTTCATCCCACTTCCTGTTCCCTTTGTCAAATCATTCACTGATCCCTTTCAACAGGCCAAAAAAAAAACCAACCCTGTCTTCTGCCAACACAGCAGGCAAACGGATTGGCAAAAGCTCTGCCCAGTGCTGGAGCAAAGGAACAGACACGAGCACAGACGTGGGGTGAACACAGCTGCAGCAGCCAGCCGTTACCTTGGCTTAAACTGCCACAGAACAGCAACTGACTCCAGCCAGCTGTGACTGATCCTCAGGTGACACAGCACACCCGCTAACAGTTGTGGCAGGCTCCCTCATTCTTTCCCAGAGCTTGCCGGGTTTGCACAAAAGCAGTACCTGCAGCCAGAAGGCAGCACATTCCAGAACGGGAACTCGGCACACAGCAACTGCCATGGAAACCAGCTTTCCCAATAAAGCCATCCTGTTGTCATCTGCTTTGTTTCCTTGAGGGCTGAAGAGAGATGAGAAAATGATCTGCCGGACTGAATCCTTGGTTTGTTCTTGGAAATAATTGCACATGATCTCAAGGAGCTGAAGTTCTTGAAGTGAATTTAATCTCTGAAAGAAAACAGAAGCAAAGCTGCAAAATACACTGGAGCTCTAGAAGAATCAAGAGTTGCTTTTGCGAAAGAAAGCAACAGTAAAGGCTGAGAGCTTCTCAGAAGTGTTAGAAGCTCCACCAGGCTGCAGCCTGTCCACATTACCTTTATTACTATCTCTCCACAATCTCACGGCCTCTCTTGGGCCCCGTGCACATATACAAGCTTCCTAAACAACCACTGCATTTATCCAGTTACACAAAAAAGGCTTTTGCGTAGCTCGCTACACAAGACTAGCGCTTGCTGTACAACCAAACGCTGCCTGTGAACTCAAAGATAAGCCCTACAGCAAGATTGGGCTGAAACATATTTCCTCCCCCTCCAAGTAGCCTTGCTAAGAGCACCGCCAGGCAGGCAGGGCTGAAAGCCAGGCCCGAGGCCTGTGCACCCCCTATATTCACCAGCAGCAGTGGTTTCTAATCGCTACTCTCCACCCCACAGCCCCAGCCTGCACCTAGCCCTGCACTCCGAAAACCTCGATACAGCCTGGCAGCGGCATGGGGGGACCTGTGGGCAGTCTCCTGGGGCCTCAGCCCCCACTGACCCTCTGCAGGACCCCACCCAGGCTCCCAATACCCCCTTTAGTCACTTAGGGTTTGCCCTGTCCCCACTCCGACCTTCAGCCCCCAGCACTTCCCAAGGGCCCGGTCCTGTCCCCACGAGGACTCAGTCGCCAGCAGCTCCCGGGGCCCCTTCCTGTTCCTCCAAGGGCACTGACCCCCCCC